GGCATGTACCTTGATTATGGGCACATCCCCAGTGGGGGGTGTGCAGGAGGCAGCTGGTCGGTTTCTCTCTCATAGATGTTTCTAATTCTCTATCCCTCTCTCTTCCTCTCTGTAAAAAATCAATAAAATAGATTAAAGAAAAAAAAAATGCAAGGCTGTAGGGTTTTCCAAATGGCTCCTTTCCTTATGTTGCTGGAAGATTTCCCTCCAGTCTTTGCTGTGGGACCTGGTAGGGGTGCTGGGGGAAAACTCAGGTGTGAAATGTGAGTGTCCCCAGGAGTTTTTACTGTTCGCACTTGTGTGCACTGAGCCTGCAGAAGTCTGCCCTTCCCAGGCACTGGTCACTCTCTGTACCCGTCTCTACAGTGCTGGGAGGCATGGACAGTAGTGCACCCTGTCCTCAATTCTGTGACAGGTCTGGAAAGTTTTCCAGTTTGCTTAGCACTTATTGTTATGACAAAATCATGAGTTCCAAGCTCCTTACGGGTTGGCCCAGAAACCAAAGTCCTGTGGGAAGAGTTTTGATTGTTTCTTGTTACAGAGCTATTAAGACTATTTCTTTGGAGTCACTTTTGGTAGGTGGAGTGGTTTGATTTGCCACTTTATTAGTTATCTAATTTGTTGGCATTGTTATAATATTGTGTTATAATCTTTTCATGTCAAATTATTAGTAGTGTCCCATTCTCACTGCTGCTTACAATCATCTGTATGAGTCATCTGTTGTTTTTTTTAAATGTATTTTTATTGATTTCAGAGAGGAAAGGAAAGGGAGACAGAAACATCGATGAGAATCATTGATGGGCTGCCTCCTGCACGACCCCCACTGGGGATCGAGCCCCCAACCTGGACATGTGCCCTTGACCAGAATCGAACCCGGGACCCTTCAGTCCCCAGGCAACACTCTATCCACTGAGCAACACCGGCCAGGGCGAGTCATCTGTTTTTGTCTAGCTAAAGGTTTGTCGCTTTCCCAGGAAACTACTTTTGTTTTATTTATTTTTTATTAAATTATCTTTGTACACATACCATTGCCCACCCCTTCCCATACCTGCCCTCCCTCCCCAGAGGAAACTACTTTTAGTTATGTTGATTTTCTCAACTGAGTTTTCTATTTCATTTACCTCTGGTCTAGTATTTTCTATTTTCTTCTTGGCTTGTGTTTAGTTTATCCAATTTTTTTGGTATGTGATTATTCACAGTATTCTTTTGTAATCCTTCATATTTTTCCCAACTCAATTGGAAGATAATTTCTCCATTTTCATTTTTGATTGTTGTAGGTGTATGTTTATAAGACTTAGCATTTTTGATAATCTTTTCAAAGATATAACTTTTGGTTTTGTTGATTTTTCTCTCCCACTCCCATTTCCTATTTCATTTTCTTCATGCTAATCTTTGATTAGAGAGCTACTTGTCCTTCCTCTTGCTATCTTCTTTGTTCCATTATTAAAAAATGCATTATCTCATCTACATATATTTGTGACTTTCCTACATTTCATTATTCCTAATTTTATTCCATTGTCATTAGACAATGTTTAACTTCAACTTTCTTTAATTCCTTGAGATTTGTTTTGTGGTTTAACATATAGTCTATCCTGGAAAATGTTCTGTATGCACTTAAGAATATGTATTCTATTGTCAATTGGAGTGTTCTATAAATATATTAGGCTTGGCTTATAGGTCTGTTCAAGTAATCTTGGCTTACAGTTCTGTTGAAATATTCTATTGATATTTTGTCTTGTTCTGTAATTAAAAATGGGGTATTAAAGACTATTGTTGAACTATGTCTTCAATTTTGACAGTTTTGCTTATTGTATTTTTGGGCACCGAAGGTCTGGCTCCAAACCGGCTCTGTTGTCTCCAGCTCAGGAACCTGCTGTGGGAACACTGCCCCGAAGAGGGAGGAGGTGGTGGGAATGGAGATGGTCCCGATGGAAGGGAAGGCGGGAAGGCTGAACAGGCCTTTCAGCACCGAATGCCCCTCCCACAGGCTCCCAGAAGCTGCCCACTTGGGAGGCTGCCTCTCCAGCCCTGCAATGCGCAAGGACCCAGAGCACACCGGGGCAGGGAAGGTCTTGGCATCTGTGCTTGTGCAAATCACTCAACCCGGAAAGGACTGCTCTGCCTGGCCCAGGCCAAGGGCTCCTCCTCAGGGGGCTCCTTCAGTTCCACCTGGCGGGGAACACCAGCCAGCAGAAGAGGGCGATCCCAGAGTTAGAAAAACAAGTCTCTTTTGAAAGAAAGTTTCAAACTGAAGATAGTTCCAAGCTACAGCTACTAAAGAGGGATGGGACTCATCAGAGGCAGGGGCCCTAGTGACCAGGAGTCCCAGGGCGATCCCAGGGGGAGGGAAGGGTCCTAGGAGAGCCAGGGCAGAAAGACCCTGCCTTGGATGCACTTCCCGAGGCGTGGACAGAGTTGCTCAGGCCAAACTGAGGCTGTCGGAAGCGGGTGGCAGAGAATCCCGAAGCTTCCTGTTCCCTCTGCCAAGAACTGTCCCCAGCCCTCACCCAGCAGTCCCGGATGGAGCCAAGATGCCTCTGTAGAGTGTAGAGCAGTGTTTCCCAAACTTCTCTGTCTTAAAGCACTAGTTAAGTATACAATTTTACCTATATGTTCCCCAAAATACTAGTTTAGCACTTCTTAGTTTGGATTCAGGAATCTGTAGTTTAACAACTCCACCAGGTGATTCTCATCATGAGAGAAGTGTGGGAAACACTGGTGTAGAGGACTAGGATTTGTGATGACAAACAGGTGGGTCTTGTTAGCATCTAGTCACTCTTGGGCTCCGTGAGCACGAGTCTGGCCAGCAGAGGCCCCTGTGTTAGGCAGATCTCTGCTTTCTGGCCAGGATGGTGTGAAGGCAACGTGCTCTCCTACCACAGTTCGGGGTGCTCACAGCCACCCACTCCCATTTAGCGAAGGCTGCTCCCAGCTCCCTCCACCAGGCTCCCGAGGGGGGCTCGTTGTTTCGGGTGCAGGAATGACAGTGCATTGCCGGGCCAGTCATCCAGGGCAGTGGTCAATGCAGCACAGAGGACGCCTTGGCTTTGCTTGTCTTACTCTTTATTTATTGGTCCCACCAACGTGACCCTTCACCCAGGCCCACCAGCGTGGAGCACTTTCCCGCCACACCTGTCCCACTGTCCCACATCGTGACCGACTTATCTTCCCATTCCTCCTCCATTCTCTCAGCATCGGAAGCCACTGTTGTCTCTGTGTGGGTCTGCGTAAAGGTTCCTTGGCAGGAGGACATGCATACGATCTTAATAAAGACAACACCACTCTGACACTAGGCAATGCATAGAAAAAAATACAGTACTCAGACATTGCAAATAAATACCCCATATAGATGAAGTTATCATAAATGTAACATTTCTTATGAATCAGCACTGTAACAGAAGGTACAAAGAGGGTCCCTACAACTAGGAGTAAGAAATGCTCATTCCAGGAAACAGAACTCTTTCTATTCTTCCTACTTATTAGAATTTGTCCTATATTTTGGAGGAGAAAGGACATTTGTTCTTCCTCTTTGAGTACCAATATGACCATACAACCTCACTTAGCAAACTGGGCAGACTAGCTTGCCAAGAAGTTTTATTTAGCAAGTTCTGTTTCCTGAAACTAACAGTGATTAGGTACACCAAGCAAGAGAATATATGACATCTTTTTCTCACGTTTGCGAAGAATACTATGGCTAGTCCCTCTCCCCGCTGCACGAGCCCGACAGCACCCGCTTCCTTGCTGCCCGTGGCTCTTCGCAAACACGGCACGTTCCTCACACCGCCTGCTTAGCTTGTCCCACAACGTCTGTTTGGTTCCTCGAGGCTTGTGTCCACTTTCATTGCTCAGCCCCTAAATCTGCAAGGACCTGCACAGTAAAGAATCACTGACTAACAGAATTCTGTACAATTGCTGTTTTCTTCCCCTCGATGAAGATGCCCAGGTTCAGGTGTGAAGTGTACCCCCTTTCACACCTATTAGTCCACACTGGCCTTCAACATTCCCAACTAGCTCTTCACGGTCCATTTTAGAGAATAAACTAGGCTGGGACACCTCCCTTAACTGATGAAGGCACTACTGGCAATGATTACTAAGAAAAAGGTGTTGAAATAAAACACCCTAAAATTTGACGGCTGTAGAATTTTCTAAGTGTACCACAATTTGGCACAAAACCAGAGTAACAAAACAATTCCAATTTGGAATTTTACTGGTACAGTTGTATAAAATTCTGTTAATCAGTCATGCTTCACGACATCCTAAAACCCAGAAAATTCTGGAATTTGTAGGTAATACTACTCATTCAATAATTTATCTTTTTTTTCTCAAGTGCCTATAACTGTTTAACCAGAGCAAAGGTCAAGTTTTCTTCTTGTTACATTGAACTATTCCTAAGAATAATAATACAATATGAAAACCCCAGAATCAGAACACCCTGGATTTCTTAACGAGCATGGCGTTTGAAACTGTTAATTTCAAACATGAGCCACAATGCCGCATGAGCTAAAAGACTGCTGGCCTGCAGCGTGGGTGTGAGCGAGCTCCCTGCAGTCGGAGCCGCACACTAGGACACACTGTGCCACACGCTGACCCCAGGACAAGGCGACCACAGCATGAGACCATCTCTACGCAAGGGACTAAGGAAGCAAATGTTATACCAAAGTATCAAAGTGCACAGGTTGGTCAGTGAGAAGGAGCTTCTGTAACGGAAGCCCAGTGTGAGCGTTTCTAGCGGGTTCCTAAGTGAGCCTGGAGGCCGCCGTCCCAGCAGGTTCTTCAAGCGCTTGTGCAAGAGCCTTTCCCAGCAGCGGCTGCAGCTTTCTGAGCTTGAAAGCTCTTTCCTCTGCCATTAAACACTCAGCAATGCTATCTGCAGTGGCATATCCAAAAACGTTTCTAAGTGGACTTTAGGCTGCCCTTCCTTCCTCTGCGTGGGCCCACGGGAGGGGAGGGAAGGGGTTGCGGAGTGACAGGGCCGGCGCCGAGTTCTCCCGGCAGCTAATCTACAGCTGAAAACGGGAGAAAACAAGACAGCGTTAGAACTCTCAGTCACTCGTCGGTCGGCTGAAGCTCGCTGAGCTGAGTGCGCAGGCGCGTTAGTCAGCAGCAGAGAAGGCCTGCGTGTTAGGGAAGCCGCCAGCTCCCAGTGCTTAGTGAAGATTCCTTATCAGTACGGAGGGAAGCTGTGTGCCGGCTCAGTGAGGGGCGGCAGCAGCTGTGGAGCCCTAGCCCCAGGAGTGCTGCTTGCACACGGTGGAGGGCCTGACCCTTCTCTAGTGGGAGGGGAAGAATCCAAAACCGCCATCCCCTCAGCAAAGCCACCCAGGACCGGGGCAGGCACACAGAGGGGGCAGGTGCCCAGCCCGCATCTCCCCACTCCCATGGTTGGCAAAGCCCAGGGTGGTCTGCGCAGCATGTGGAGTCGGGCAGGAACTGACACATGAGGGGACCAAGGGTAAGAGTGGCGCTGGGGCAGGCAGCTGTGTGAGCGGGCAATGCCAACTGCCCCTGAGCCAGAGCGCCTCAGGGAGAGGCCCCGTGGGTGAAAGGGAGAAAAACACTGAAAAAGGTTCTGCTTCCGAACGTGGCCACGCTCTGGTGTGGCAGCAGCTTCCTCTCCTGCCCGCCTCCAGCGGCAATGACAGTGACTCGGGAGGACCACAGCCCTCAGCGAGTCCTCGGCCCGGCTGCCTGGGCCCCCCCGTCTCCTTTCCCACACTGGGCTGGGCCGGCTGGGGTTCCAGAATACTGCTTCTAGGGTTAAAGCCTGATTATGGAAAGCTGGGGACACCCTGGTACAAAAGGATGGGCTTCCCCCAAGGAAGGGACTCTGGTCAGGCACTTGGGAAGATTTTCTCAGGGAAAACCCCAGGCTTCGGGCCTGCTGATGTGTTACCTCGCAGGCCACCAGACCAGTGTGCCCACCTCAGAGAGAGGAGCTGAGGCTCTGAGCTGGTCTCGGTGTGGCCGGACGTGCCTCTGCTGCGCGTGGCTGGTGCTCGGCGCACACACATGCCTGGGCTGGAGGACTTGGGGCTCAGGGCTGCGCTTTCTCTGGGGGAGAAAGTTGGTCCTTTAGTCCCGAATAGGATTTGTAGTGAGATGGTGTACAAGCTATGAAGTAACTCTGTTCAGAGGCAGCAGCCGGAACTCTCAGAACCTCTGACATGCTCCCAGGTGCCGGCAACACAGCTGCCCTACACACATGCACATTTCATCACAGCCAATGACACCCAGGCCCTGGAAAGCCACAGTTTTTCAAGGACTCCTGGCTCTGACCCCATCTTGACCCCTGCCCCTTCCCACAGGACAGCCGCTGCCATGAAAGGGGTCATACGTAGGGTGAGCTGCAGACGCCCAGCTGCACTGTCCGGTGGAAGGAAGCACCATCTCAGCTAAACCCTTCCCTCCGCGTTAGTCCCGGGAAGATCAGCCTAGCGCGCGGTCCCGCTGCTGCTGGGTTAGTGGAGACGAAGCAGATAGGTGGTGGCGACAGGTGAGCTGCGGTGGATGGCCCGGAGGCCTAATCGCAGCAAACGTTATACTTCTCGCCGCAGAGCACCTGGGCAGTGAGCCCGGCGCCCTCGGTCCTGTCGCTGGCACTGGCACAGGTGTGACTTACGCTTGGGGTGCTGGACTTGACTTTGGGGGTGGCCTTGCTACGGCCCCGCCGGGTCTGCTCATGGTCCAGCTCCAGCAGCTCCAACCGCTGGGTCAGCGCCAGCTTCTGCTGGATGGCCATGCGCAGCAGGGAGTTGAGCGTCTTCTTCTCATCCTCGGCGGCCGCCAGCTGCCGCTGCATCTCATCCAGCTGTGTGATGTATTCGTCACACCTGTGGGGACAAGGAGATGCGAGTGTGACTGAGGCCCAGGAGGGACGTGGGCGCTGCTCCTCAGGCTGGGAGGGAGGACCTGCCCTCAGGAGTGGCTTCCTTTGGGTGGGACTCCACAGAGCTGGTCTTCGCTGACAGGGCCTTCAGGTAACCCGGGGAAGATGGCTGGAGGCAGATGTCACCTGGCTCTCCGTGTGGGATAAAGCCCAGGAAGGGACGTGGCTCGCTTCCACGTGAGCACGTGCACCCAGGAGGAGCTCGGGAAACCTGTACCCAGTGGCCAACCTGAGCCTGGGAGGCGCACGTGGGTGAGCGAGCAGCCCTCCGGTCTGTCCCCAAGGAGGGAGTGGCCTGGGCAGAGGGCTGCCTCCACGCTCTCCTTTGCCGGAGCCCCGGCCACCAGGGAGTTGTCGCTCTTGCCCGGAGGGAGCATGTGCATCTGCGCTCCGAGAAGGCAGTTTGTGAACGGGTGAGGAAGCAAGTGTCCACGTGCCAGTGCTGAGTGACCCCCTCCTGCCCACTCTGAACAGGAGAGCATGCTTCCCAAGGAGCCTGGTACTTTCTTTCCTTGTCTTCACCCCTCCCTATGGACAGCACGGTCACCAAGCACCCTAGGGGAAGGAAAAGCAGGCCCTGAGCTCATTGACAACCCATAACATAGGGAGCCTCTGACTCCTGACCCTGAGGGCATGCCTGGACCATCTTGGGGCTCCGGCCCCTGACCAGGGTCTCCTGAAGCCGGCAGCAGATGGCACCAGGCTGCTCTGGATGGCAGCAACACTAGGAAGCCGTGACCTTCCTGAAATCGCCTCCCCCTGGCAAATCTCTGCCAATCAGGAGGGGGGATGGGCTGAGAAAGGCCTTGCTTCTTAATCCACAAACTTCCAGCCAAACTGGGGGGGAGGGGGGGAAGGCAACTCCTCATTTGTCAGTTACTGGCCCCAATCTCCCCACTAGGGACCTCTCCTCTTTAGCTTTTGCCTTCAGCTTCCTCATCCGACGTGCACACACACTATGCTCTCACTATGCGAACACACACTATGCGAACACCCCAAACCCAGGAATGGCACGTCCCGGGGAGCAGGTACCTGGTGGCGAACATGGCGCGCAATGAGGAGAAGGTGGCTGCGTCCTCCTTCAGGGCCTTGAGTTCGTTGCGCAGCTTCATCATAGTCTCCGTCACCATGGCCTTCTCGTTCTCGTACTTGCTCTTCAGGTTGGCAAGGGCCACCTCGGCTGTCTGGGGGTCAGAGAGACACAGGTGGTGGGTGAGGCATCTGCTATTTCATGGAGTGCCCCAGCCAAGACCCCATCTGATCTGGCCCCCCAGCACCCAGCTCCTCCCCATGGCACTGAGTAGAGGCTCTCCCACCTTCAGTAGCACAACCAACATGATCCATAGCCTGAGGCTTGAGCGGACCTGAGATGCAGGCCTCGGGGGGCAGGGAGGGCGAGCAGCCTGCCAACCAGCGGGCCGAGCGCACGCACCTGCTTGTTGGCCTTGAGCACGGTGCGCAGGGTGGTGATCTGCTCCCGCTTGGTGCTGAGCAAAGACTTGAGCTTGAGGATCTCCTCCATGAGCGCCTCCCGGTCCTTGTCTGTGCCAGGGCCCAGCTCCTGGGAGGCCAGGCGCTGCCGCGACAGCTCCGTGGTGCGGTCCACCGCCGCCTGCAGGTGCCTGATCTGGTCACGGATGATGGCAATCAGGTTGTAGATGTTCATGGGCTCCCGGCGAGGGTCACTCAAGGGTGAGGGCAGTGAGAGGCTGCTGTCCCCAGCCCCGCCCTCTGCAGCCAGTGGCCCCTTGGACAGGACTGGTGAGCGGTGTCCGTGGGCTTCGGGACTGCAGTGGCCTGCGCCAGCTGGGCCCTCTCGGTAGTAGTCCAGCACGACACGGGTGGGCGTCTCGTTGTTGCACATGCACACGTGGTGGTAGAGGCTGGCCAGCTCCTCACTGAAGGTCACCAGCTCATCCTGGGCCACACTCAGGCTGCCCTGAGTCTCACCCGCGACGTCACTGACCTTCTTCAGCTCTGTCTGCAGCCGGGCCAGCAGCTCGCGGTCCTGGCCGCTGGCCTTCTCCAGCAGAGACACCTTCTCGGCGAGCACCTGGCTCTCGGCCTCATGGCGGCCCTTCTCCTCAGCATGCTGAGCCTCACTGGCCTCGTGTGCGCTGCGTAGGGCCTTCAGCTGCTCCCGGAGCTCGCCGGCCTCTGCCAGGGCCACACGGTACTTGCAGGCCAGGATCTCAGGCCCGTTGATGTCCACTTCGTAGTAGTCGCCATCCTCATGGCTGTCGCGCTCCTTCTCACTGTCCAGGGCTGTGCGTCGCTCCTTGCCAGCCTGCAGGCGCTGCAGAGCACTCAGGCTCTCAGTGAGGCGGCTCACCTCCTCCCGCTGCTCCGACAGGGCCCCTCGAGCCTGCTCCAGCTGCTTCTGTGCGTCCTGCAGGGTTGCTAGCAGGCCCGCCTTCTCCCGCTCCATCTGCAAAGGCACAGAGAGGGCCCGTCAACAGCCCCCCCGTCATGCTGCTGGCCTGGCACTGAGACGGGACAGGGTCTCCAGGCCTGGGCAGTCTTACTACATGCTGGTGTGCTAAGTGTTAAGTGTAGCACAGTGTTTTGCAGAAGCAGTGGTGAATAGGATGAGCTTGAAAGGGACTCAGCCTGACAAACACCTGCGAAGAGACCACCAAGGTGTACTTGGCAAACAGTATGCTAAGCAATGGATCAGCCTCCTTCCTGCAGGCAGCACCGTGGCTATGAATCCCCTTTACTTGCTGCAAATAAATAAAACTACCTGTACCAACCACGTCTCGTTTTAGAGCACCCCAAGTGCAGACCCCTTGAGTTCAGTAACATGCCTACGTGGGGTGTTATAAGTGGGGCCACTGTTGGTCCTCCCCTGCCTAGGCTTGGGGGGCCATGAAGGTCCCTCACAGACATGGACAAACTGCAGGTAAGACACTGGGGTTCTGTTCAGTCCAGGAGGAAACCCTCTGAGACATGTCCACAGGACAGAGAGGAAGGCTGCACGTGCACTGCAAGGGGCCACGAGAATACCTTGGCCAGCACGCAGAATTCAACCCCATAACCAGGAACCCAGCCCTCTGGGTACCTTTCACTCGTAATGCTGCAGCTGCACTCACACCACGGTGAAGTGAGGTGGGGGCGTGGGGGTGGCCCTCACCTGAACCACCGTCCCCCTCCGCCCACCTGCTCACCTGCACCAGCTGCTGCGTCAGCTTCTGGACCTCCGAGAGGTTGAGCTCGCTGAGGAGGTCGGACACGAGGCCGGGGCAGGGCGGGGCCAGGCCGTCCTTGGAGGGCGTGGAGGTCTTGTTGTCCAGGGGCAGCTTGGCCAGGCAGCCGTGCTCAAAGCCGTTGGCCAGGGCCTCGGCGTCCTCGCTGAGCTTGAGGCCATCCAGAGAAACGTGCAGGTGGCTGGTGTAGAGGGAGTCGTTGATGCTCATGTAATGCGACAGCTCCTTGCGCAGGCTGTTCTTCTGCTCCCGCTCCGTCTTCAGCGTCTCCAGCGCCTCCTCCAGCTGCCGCTCCGAGATCTCCTTGAGCCGGATGGCGTCCTCCAGCTGGCTGTTGAGGTACTCGGTCTCCTCCTCCAGACGCTTGATCTCATGCTTGAGGCCCTCAAACTCCACCTGGGAAAGAAGCCAATCTGTCTCAGCCAGTGATGAGAGGAAGCACCCAGGACAGTGTGCACAGGTGTGTGCAGAGCACCAGCCAGGGCTCGGAGCAGAGACCCATGGGAATCTAAACGTAATGGTTTAGATGATGGATGGTTACCAAGTGTCTACTGACGTTGAGTGCTAAGCAGCTACTGCACATCAACATAAAATACATGTCTGGGTGTGTGCTGCGACCACTGATCCCAATGATACTTCAAAAACAGCCCGCAGTTCCCACGGAGGCAGGATGTGCTCAGCACACCCGCAGGCAGCCCGGGGAGGAGGCGGATCCACTGAAACTGCATGTGCAGATGGACGAGGAAGGAGCAGGCAGAAACCTGTGCTTGACATGGGGGGTGGGAGATCAGGTCTATGCGTAACTTAACAGAACACTGCCAGTTATTATGCGAGATTTGTGAGAATAGAAGGAGCGCACTGAGAGGCAGTAGTGGGCGCATCTTGGATGGTGAGGCCAGAGGACAGCTCCTGAGACGGAGCTGGATTCCACTGCCTGCTGCCCAGGCCGGAGGCGAGGTCCCTCTCGGGGCCCCTGTGCAACTCGAGGCAGAGCTCTGTGCCGCGTTCTTGGGGAGAAGAGTGCTCTCCGCTGGCTTTTGCAAACACGGAGGTTCTGTTGTTGGGATAAGCACCCGGCCTACACCCCCTCTGCAGAATTCCCACCGGGGAGGAGGCCCCTCAGTGCCCACTGTGGAGCTTGTGTCTGCTGACAGGTGCCAGGGATAGCACTGAGACCCTCGGGCCGGGACCACCTGGATGGCCGGTCACAGGGGAAGATGAGCCTCCTCATCTCACCCATTGCTGAGTTACGAGGACAGATGATGGCTCGAACATCCCCACTGCTCCTCAAGGCAGGCCCTGGCTTTAGCCAGAGGGTCCCTCGAGGCCAGGACAACAAAGGATCACAGGGCTGGCACCTCACTCTCTCAAGGGCCGGCACCTGAGACAGCAGGAGGGATGTGCAGGCCAACACCTCCCAAGCACCCAGGGCACGGAACATCGGGCTTCCTGTCAGCACCTCGGAGGGGACTGGCTAAGCTGGATGCCCAGCCTCGGAGAATTTTTGGTGTCACCTCTTTAGCAGCGCCCGCACCCCCCATTTCTGCTGGCCAGGAGGCCGAGGCCAGGCCGGCTCAGCCAACACTGAAGCCAGAGGCCCTGTTCTTACGGCCGTGGGGGGCCCAGACCCTGCCCCACACTTCCTGTCAGCATTAGTGTGTGGCACTGACAACGCAAAAAGGCAGAGTGAGGGGGTGTGAGGGTCGCGGCCCATAGCTAACCCGGCCGCCACTTACCTGGTTCTGCCTGAGTACAGACACCTGCTTCTGCAGGCTGATGTTCTCCTCCTCCAGCTCCGAATAGTCCTGCAGCAGGCGGGCCTCCCGGAACTTGTATTCCTTGATGTCATCCCGCAGGCGGCCCCGCTGAAGCTCCACGTTCTGATTGATCTGCCGGGAGGAAGGCAGGTGTGCCCAGCTGACCCTGCCACCCCTGGGACTTGGGGGGCTCAGCGCAGTCAGGCCAAGCGTGGCTGCCTGCAGGGGAGCAGGGGCCCCAGGAAGGGTGAGGGGCGAACAGGAAAGGGCTCTGACCCTTGATTTCTTCATCTGTAAAATGAATTACAGTGGTGTATCCTGTGGGAATAGCTCAGCAATTACCACCTGCCCTGGCAATGCTGCTCCTCAGCTGTACCCTGAGAAACGAAAGCACAGACTGAAGAACAGAGAAGCACATGTGGGCCAGCGTGGCTCAGGTGGTTAAGTGTCATCCTGTGCAGTTTGATTCCAGGTCAGGGCACAGGAGAAGACTTGAGTTCAATCCCCAGTCGGGATGCGTGCAGGAGCCAACCGATCAATCTTTCTCTCTCCCCTCCACCCGCCTCTCTCTAAAATCAATAAAAACATTTTAAAACATTCATACAACTGACACAATGCCACAACCCAAATGAAAACATTATCATGAGGAAAAGAATCCAGACATAAGAGGTCATGTATTGCATAACTGATTCCTCATAAATGAAATGTCCAGAAGAGGCAAATGCGGAGATGGATAGTAGAACGGGGGTGGGGGGAGGGCCCTGGTGATGGCCTCCAAGCCAGAGGGTATATGAGGCTTATGGAGGCTGGGGGAGATCGGTTTGGGTGGGTGGATAGTGTCTACTAATGGGGCTTCTTTCTGGAATGATGAAATGTTCTAAAACCGATTGCTGATGGTACATAATCTGTGAATATACTAAAGCCCACGGACTTTAACACTTTAAGTGGGTGAGTTATAAGGATGTAAATTATCTCGACAAACCTGTTAAAAAATAGTTCCCGCCTCCAGACTGCCTTGAGGATTCAGATGTCCTGCAGGGAGAGGCTGCGTGTGCACCATACAACAGAACCTGTCCCTTGGCCCTCGACTCTGCGACATCCTGGGGTCAAATTTACGCTGAAGGATGTTTAGTAGTTCCCTGCTCCCTGCCCCCTGCCCACCAAATGCAGCCCCTCCCTTGTGGAAGCAACAGAAACGGTCTCCAGACAGAGCCAGTGTCCCCTGGGACGTAACTGACCCCTAGTCACACTGTCTCCCCTCCCTCCCCTGTCGCTCCAAGTGGCCTCCCTGTATATTGGCAAAGATCTGGTGCCCCAGGCAATGCCGCCGCCCCTGGGCCCTGGCACTGCAGGGGCCCCAACTTGCTCAGCCTTCTCAATGTACAGGCCTCTTTGTGGGAACGGGGGTGGGGGGAGGGCCCTGGTGATGGCCTCCATGCACCCATGGCAGACCCGATTCCAAGGCCCACGCAGGCACACACACAGCAACGTGCACTATTGAATGAAGGGGATTATATCAGAGCAAAGAAAAGCCACAGGGGTCATCACGTACACTCCCACTGACAAAGGCTTTCCACCACGACCTCTAGCAAGTAGAAGGGCGCAGGCTCTGCAGAAGGGCCCCAAAGTGGGTGCCGGGAGTCAGCACCAGGGGCTGCTGGAGAACAGGCCCGGCCTGGAGCACAACTCCCAGCAAACAGGCAAAACGAAGCATGATGGCAGCATGAGGGCCACTCCATTTACCTGGAGAGGCACTGGATCTCCATGCGCACACAACCTCGCCCTGGCAGCGCACGCACGCGCACGCGCACACACACACACACACACACACACACACACACACACACACACACACACCATCTCCTGCACACTCTCTCCATGACACATACATGTACACCGGCCATCTCACGCACTCACCCTGTCTCACACTCATACTTTCCCATGACGTACACCCTCTGTCTCATGAGCATACCCGCCCCATCACGTGCACACCCTGTCTCACACGCATACCTTCCATGATATACACCCTCCGACTCACACAGCACCCTCCATGACATATATACACACTCTCCATCTCACACGCACACCCTCCATAACACATGCATACCCTTCCCATCACTCCCACACACATCCCTCTCCCACACACACCTCGTCGGTCTGATTCTCTACGAGCCTCATCACCATCAGAATATGGGCTATGGCATGGCTTTGTGAGGAGGGTGGGGTGCTCCTCCCTGCAGGTCAGCCTTCAGTGTGGACAGCTGCCCGTTCAGTGTGAGGAGACTGGGGCAAGGGAAGGGTTGGCCAGGAGCAAACTCTGTCTCTGTCAGTGGGCTTTGTTTAAAACTGAGCAACTCTGGGAGTAATGAAGATGGCAGCATAGGTAAACCCCTAACTGCAGCCTCACACAACAATTTCAAAAATACAACTAAAATACAAAATGGACATTAGCCAGAACTACGGGAAAATTGACTGAAAATTCTACAACTAGAAGGAAAGAGAAAACCAGAAGGAAAATCAGAGGAGCTGTAAAAGCCTAAGGTACGGAGACACGGTGCGCACGTGGAGAGAGGACTGAGCCGGAGAGGAGGGGGCGGCTGAGTGCCTGGCTGGCATTCCCTGGTGGGAAGGAGATAAAAGCTCTGGACTGTGCTGAACCCCAGCTCCGACTGTACTGAACCCCAGTTCTGGGCGAGACCCTGGGGACCCAGGTTGATACAGAGGGAATCTAGGCTATAAGGCGGAAACTCAGGCGAGTGGTGAAAGGCAGAGCCCCGTATGCGCACAGAGGGCAGATTGTTGACTGTGCTGCTAGACTGCCCTAGCAGGAAGGAGACAAAAGCTCCGGACTGTGCTGAGCCCCACTTCCAGCCCCACTTCCAACTGCACTGAACCCCAGTTCTGGGCTCACTGGGAAAGAGACTAGACTGTCTGGTAGCAGGTGAAACTCGAGGGCAACTTTCTCTCAGAGGTGTTTGCAGCGAGTACCGAAGGGCACTGAGGAACACTGAGACTCAGGAACCTCAGAGGGCAGGGCTGAGGGAAGCCAAGACTGTAGGCTCCACCCTGAAACTCTACCCCACCCAAGCTGAGCACAGAGGCTTTTGCAATTTTCCAAGTCTAGTCTAATAAGGCTGTCTCCCGGATTAGACACAGCTGATCCTCACAGCCAATTGGCCTGGAGGCCAGTTCCTCCCAGTGATACCAACAACAATCAAGACTTAACTACAACAAGGCTGTACACACAGTCCACAAAGGGGTGCACCAAGAGTGTCCACCTCAGGTAACTGGGAGGCTGATCCACTGAACCATATAGGACACCTTGGCATACAAAGCTACCCTACCAACTTAGGGAAGCTGTGAAAATGCAGAGACAAGGAAACAGATCACAAACGAAAGAAAAGAAGGACAAACGACTGGATATAGAGTTCAAAACCACTGTTATGATGTTTAAGAATTTCCTAGAAAAAGCCGATAAAATAAATGAGTCCTATGAGGATATGAAAAGGGATCAACTAGAAATAAAGAATACATTGTCTGAAATAAAAAATATTATACAGAGTCCTAAAAACAGAATGGAAGATTGCAAGAATCAAGTCAACGATTTGGAACATAAAGAGCCAGAAGACACTCCTCCACAGAAGCAAGAAGACAAGAGAATCCAGAAAGTTGAGGATAGTGTAAGAAACCTCTGGGACAACTTCAAGCGAACCAACATCAGAATTAACGGGGGGTCCCCAGAAGAAGAGAGAGAGCAAGACACCAAAAACATACTGGAAGAAATAGTGACAGAAAACTTCCCCCACCTGGTGAAAGAATTAGACTTACATGTCCAGGAAGCCAAAGAGGACCACACCAAGACACATCATAATTAAAATTCCAAGAGCAAAAGACAAAGAGAGAATATTAAAAGCAGCAAGAGAAAAGCAGGTAGTTACCTATAAAGGAGCACCCATATGATTGTCAGCTGATTTCTCAACAGAAACCATGCAGGCCAGATGGGAATGGCAAGAAATATTCAAGGTGATGAATAACAAGAACCTACCACCAAAATTACTCTACCCAGCAAAGCTATCACTCAGAATCAAAGGCTAGTTAAAGAGCTTCACAAATAAAAAAAAAAAAAGCTAACGGAGTTCATCACCGCCAAACCAGAATTATATGAATTGCTGAAGGGGGTTCTTTATTTATTTATTTATACATTTTTAAATATATTTTATTGATTTATTACAGAGAGGAAGAGAAAGGGATATAAAGTTAGAAACATCAATGGGAGAGAAACATTGATCAGCTAACTCCTGCACACACCCCATTGGGGATGTGCCTGCAACCAAGGTACATTGCCTTGACTGGAATCGAACCCGGGACTCTTCAGTTCACAGGCAGACACTCTATCCATTGAGCCAAACCAGTTTCGGCTGAAGGGGATTCTTTAGGAAGAGGAAGAAGATAAAGATAAAAATTATGAACAACAAATATGTAACTATCAACAAGTGAATCTAAAAACCAAGGGAATTAAAAAATCTGATGAACAATATTAACTGGTGAATATCATAGAATCAGAGGTATGGAAGGGGAGTGGACTGATGAAAAAGGGAGTGGGGGATGCGGGAAGAGACTGAACATAAACTGTGCCATCTATGAATGAGGTCAATGGGTGGTGGGGAAAGGGCAGAGGGTGGGGTGGGAACCTGGTGGAGGGGAGCAATGGAGAGAAAAAAAAAATGAGGAACATTTGTAATAATATGAACAATAAAGATTTATTTAAAAAAAAAAAAGCCAAACTAAAAAAACAATAACTGAGCAACTCCCCTCAAGTGGACCCGGTGCTGAGCTGGATCCGCACAGCCTCCTTTACAGCCCCTGCTCTTCATGGCGGGGGCGTCACACACCCAAAGGGCCGCCCACAGAAAGCGCAGGAACCAGCGGCCCGCTGACGCAGAGCTGCACACCACCACCCAGCACCAGGGCACCGTATTGCCCTAAAAGGAACCACACGGCCATTAGCGACCATGGGCCGGACGGGGTGTGGACCTGCCTGGCTCAGGACCTTCACTGGCCCCGTCTCCACGGGCACCATGCTGGGGCTTGGCCAGCGAGGAACTCACTGCAGCTGAAGCACCCCAGGCGACCCCCAAAGAAGAACCCGGGTGGGGGAAGGACAGGGAGCGTGTTGTGCTGCCGCAGAATCTGTCCCCGCAGTGTGGCCTGGGTGCCGCCAGGGTGCCCCTGTGCGGGTGTCCCACAGCCTGAGTCCCAGCCCTGAGCCGTGGAGTGAGCACAGGGGAGGGGACCGCTGAGGAAGAGACGGGCACAGGGTGGCCACAGGACTGACATGCGAGGCGGCCACCACCAGGCGGGAGGCTCCGCAGGGGCAGAGCCCTGCGGGCATCTTCAGACAGGAAATCGAAGAGCACAGCTTCTGTCTTTTAAGCTGTGTTCTGTGCCAACCTGTCAGAGAAAGCGAATACAGGCTTGCTACTAGGAGAGCAGCGCTGCTGTAACAAACACCTGGGCGTGGAAGTGACCATGGAGTCGGGATCCGAGGCTGGGTGTTCTGAGCATGACAGGAAGAGGCCACTGCCCTCGCATGGCTGCCACGCCTTGGGGGCGCCTCTCAGAGCCTTGTCTCCATTCTGAAGGCTGTGGCAGGGAAGCACTGGCTTTGTACACATCCATCCAAAGTACCTCCCACCCTCTGCAGCCGCACCACAGGCAGCACCAGCTGCAAAACCAGTCTTCCCACCTCATCCGCCGAGGGACGCCATGCCACGGCTCGGCTCGGCTCTCCCGTCTCTCCTCCCTGGTCCCCCGGCTCTCTGCGGGCCGTGGCTGTGCGCCCCGCCTCCTGCACACACAGCCTGCGGCGCGCGCTCCTGAGCACACAAGCAGGGCTTGCTTATCCTCTGCCGAAAGGTCTGATAAAACCCTCCCTTTCCTTGCTCAGTCATGCACCTGGCATGCAGAAGTGCCCAGACATGGGCAGCACCCAGCCAGGGCCACTGCAGAGGGGAAAAGAGGGACATGTCGAAACCCCACGAGCTCCCCAAAGATCTCTGCACCAGGACTGACAACACATATGGACCTGAAGGCTGTGGAGAGAAACTCGGAGGAACGGCCATGTGAGGGGGCAGACTTGACCTTCCCAACTGGGAACTGGAGCAGGCGGTCCTGGGGTAGGGCCTGTGCGCTCCCCAGGATCCAGGCGCCGTATCCTGCCTTGCTTCAAGGCAGACCAGCAGGTAGGCCTGTGAGCAGTGAGGCCAGGCACCACATGGCAGGGGATGGCACCATTTGCTGAGCCTGCAGGACTCACAGGCCCGCACGTGGTTCCCATGGCAACTGGGCTTTCTCCCTCCACCATATGTGTGGGTACCTCCACTTTGGATGCCTGGCCATCACAGGCCCTGCATGCAGCTTGGCCCAGCTCCCTCTCTATGCTCCCTTCTCTGATGCTCCCTCCTGTCCTTGTCTCCTTGCTTCTCCCAACCCCCACCTTATCTGTTCTGGGGCCTGGCACCTGCTGGTGCCTCTCACCCTGAAGTTACCTCCCTGGTGGTCCCAAGATAGGCCAAGGAATGTGGTTCCACAAGAATATGGAAGATTCCAGAGCTCTGTTGTACACACTGCAGCCACAAGGCATGCACGATCAGGGGCACTTCATAAAAAGTAAGTGTAACCTTATATATAAAAGCCTAAGCAACCATCTGACCATTCAACCGTTAGCTATGATGCACACTGACCACCAGAGGACAGATACTCAACACACGGGCATGGAAACATGGAACAGATTGATGAATCGCAGAGGGAAGGAGGAGAGGGGAAGCAGGAAGAGGGTAACCAAAGATCTTATATGCATATTAGAGACCCGCTAGTGGGGTCCCTCAGCATGGCCTGTGGGGATCGGGCTGAAACGGGTAGTCCGACATCCCCTGAGGAGTCCTGGATTGCAAGAGGTCACAGCCCAGGCCGAGGAACCCCACTGGTGCCCCGGGCCTCTAGTAAACTAGAATTCATCTCCCAGGAAGTTCCAGGGCCCAGAGCTGAGAGCCAGGCTCTGAGGGAGCAGGATGGGGGAGCAGGCGCATTTGCCTGGCACTGGGGGCAGTGTTTCCTGGACATCTGGGAAGGCGCGTTTTCACGGGCCATTTTAGAGCCTGGGAGTGGAGCGAGCCTATCCCATGCAGGGCATCCCCCGCCCCCTGCGGACCCTCTCTCACCAACTCCTCGATCTCCTGGGATGGCACACCAGAGCACTTCAGGTCCTACTTCCTGGAGGAATGTGTGCTTCCTCATGGGGTTCATTGCCTCAGGAACCACATCGGAGCCCACAGCTCCTCCATCCCTGCAGGGCCCTACCCCTGCTAGCTCCTTCATACCCTCTTACCCCGGCTGTCTGCTGACATGACAGCCCCCAACTTCTGTCCTCTGGTTCTGGACCTAGGCATCTACCCCACAATGCAGTGTTCACCTGGTGCCCGGCACTGCTGCTCCTGACCCGCCACACACCTCAGCTTGTGACCAGACGCCCTGCTTCCGTCCAGGTGCTCCTGGGGCCCAGAGGCCACCACAGAAGGAAACAAGCCCTTTCCTGGTGGTTCCTGGACTGGAGTGGAGGGGACATCCCTGCCACTCACTCCTGGAGCTGAACTGGGCCCAGGACACAAAGGGCCCATCAGAACAGCAATACCAGGGGGTACGGCCTCCAGGACAGGAAGGCCAGGGGGTAACGGCCCCCAGGACAGGAAGGCCAGGGGTAAGGGCCTCCAGGATAGGAAGGCCAGGGGGTAATGGCCTCCAGGACAGGAAGGCTGGGGGGTAAGGACCTCCATGACAGGAAGGCCGGGGGGTAAGGGCCCCCACTTGGCGCATGAGGCTGACCCCTCTCCCAACGGCAGTCGTGCCTCTCAAGGGCCATCCCCAGCATATGCACAGGCCTGTCTCTGCCTCCAGCGGCTGCACACCTGGACCTAAGCGTCTACCCACACTGCAGTGTTCACCTGGTGCCCGGGGCTGGCCTCCTGGGACTCTACTTCTCTTCCTACAAAATGGAGATCAAGGCCACAGCCCAGGACAGAAGCTAGCTGGCCTGTCTGCATATAGTTCAAAGGTCAGGACCCTAGGCTACAGGGTCTCCTGGGTTAGCAGAACATGCAGGACACAAACACCTAAGCCAGTTGTCACAAGGAGGATAGACAGACTGGCTCATCATCACTGGACATAGGTCAGGACTGGGCACCAGGGAACTCAGATACACTCCTCATGAAAGGGGCATCACGTGGGGTGACCCACAAGGTCTGTGCAACTGGGTTATCCTGAAACAGCTGCAGGTTGGTATTCATTGGGGACAGTGCTTGGTGTTGTGTTCTCATGATCCAGGCTCCTTAGCCAGGCCTGCGCTCTGGCACAAGCCTTGTGCAAGAGGGGGTTGGCCATACCAGAGGCACAGAGGAGCTGGCACAGCAGCTTGGGGAGCAGTGGCAGGGCCAGGACAGTAGGAGAGCCACAGTCTCCTCGGGCTGGGAGCAGGATACGAATGGAGCCGGCAATGGAAGGGACTGACCAGGACTCGGTCCAAGCTGGTGGCAGGAGGGAGCTTCCTCCCCCACCAGGAACCAGTGGCTCCCCATGGCCTGCACCACAGAGACTTCGGGGATACAGGATGTGCCTCAGGAGAAAGGCGGCTGAGGGGTGGGGAGCGGCAGGCTTTCTCCTGAGGCACTGACAGGGATAGCAGGGATCCGGCCCCACCAGACCTGTTCTTCTAACAGCCTGTGGGACCAGCTGCGCTAACCTCCTGGCACCCAAAGCCAGGAGTCAGCAGGTCCCAGCACTCTCCGCACAGCCCAGGACAGGCGCCTCTGGAAGAGGGAAGAGGCAGAATGAACCGGCTGGGGCATTTCTCACCCTAACAGCCCCTCCCGCAACCCGGACCAGGGCAATCCTGTGGGAGGAAATGGGATCACACATTCCAGCTCCAGGCCCACAGGGTTGTCTGCCTCCAGGTCTAAGCCAAGCTCCTCCTAGGCTCACAGGCCGCAAAGCCCTCGGACCCAAATGAACCACATTTGGGTCAGAGGTCATTGAGGCTGGCCCTGGCTCTGTCCCAAACCTTGCCAGTGTCCCCTCCCAATCCTGCGGGACCATTACGTCTAAGGTGTGAACCCTTATCTCAGAGCCGTATGCCTGCCTGTCTCTACCCTCCCAGGAAACAGAGGTGGGCCTCTCAGCAGCCAGATAAGCCCTTTGCTCGCCCTGAGCACCTGGCTCTGAGAGGCCACGGCCACGGGTATGGCTGCAGCTCACAGAGTCCCAGCTGACCTGCGTCCCTGTCCAGCTCTGTTTAGAGGTCAGTGGCCCGCCTTGCCCTAACAGGGTGGTGGTGGAGCTTGGTCCTGGTGTCATCTGCAGTGCCCCTTCTGACTTCTTCATCAAAAGATGGCAGGAACACTCCATCCCACTTTCATCTGTGGAACGAGCTGCGCTAAGACCAGGATGCACAGCTCAAGGGGAGCCAGGACACTTACTGGCTGGACCACATGAGGCTGGAGCTGAGCAGGTGGGACAACTGGTGGTGTGGGCACCCCCCACCCTGCCCCCGTGCACACTGGGGTTGCCTCCTCACGCAGGAACAGCCTGCCCGTGGCCAGCCTGAGATACCTCCTTCAGCTCCTGTGCCACCGAGGCCAGGCGCTCGCCCTCCGACTGAGCGTTGGCGAGCACGTTGCGCAGCTGCTTCAGCTCTGTCTGCAGCTCCAGCACCTTGCGCTCGTAGTATTGCTCCTTGGAGGCCGACTCCTGGATCAGACTCTCCTCCCGGCTCTCACCATCCGCGGCCACCTTCCTGTGGTTTGTGTGCACCTGTCCAAATGCCTGCGGGGGAAGAGACACCGAGTACGTCAGGCCAGCACTCCTGCAAGTGCAAGTGGAGCCAGACATGGGGTGGAGGGTGGGAAGCAGGGGTACTGACTGTGGATCTGTCCACTCATCCTGGGTAGACACCTATGCCCAAGGGGGCCAGACCTGCATGAAGGGACCAGAGCATGAACCAGGACACTCAAAAGCAGCCAACAGGCCACCACATGTGCCTAATGAGAGAATCCACCTGCCTGCCCAGGACCTGGGCACAGAGCTGAAATTGTCTGACAGGAAAAGCCCCCGTGGGTGAGAGGAACTAGGCCCGAGTGCTGTGCCGGCAGGCGTCTCCCATCGTGCTTGTCCTCCAGGCAAGCGGCAGGCCCCAGGAAGTACCTCTACTTCTCCCTCCCGCCCTCCCATCCTAAACATCCCAGCAGGCAAATGGAACCCCCACAGGCCAATGCTGTGTGCCCTCCCCGTGCCCGCTTTCCACAGGCTGCCCTATGCACACCACAGGCTGCCCTATGCACACCTCAGGAGAGGAGGAGACCAGTCTCTTTACAGGGTTGAGTAGCAAGGAAATTAATGCCTTTATTTCTTGAGAGAAACAAGAACATTCCCACTCATTTACTATAATCCAGGTCTAGGCTAACATGTCAATATGACCAGACAAATTATAATACTAAGTCCAGGAATTTAGTCCAAGAAGACAGTTGGGGAAGCAAAGCTATGTATAAGATGCTACTAGCAGGAGTGTTTCTAATAGAACAAATTAAAACATAGTGACTGGCCAGCCCTATCTGGTTTATCTCAGTGGCTAGAGCGTCGACCTGTGGCCTGAAGGGTACCAGGTTCAATTCTGGTCAGGGCACATGCCCAGGTTGTGGGCTTCATCCCCAGTAGGGGGAATGCAGGAGGCAGCCGATCCATGATTCTCTCTCATCATTGATGTTTCTATCTCTCTCCATTTCACTTCCTCTCTGATCAATAAAAATATATATATTTAAAGAATAAACGTTAAAAAAAAGTGACAGGCCAAATAAAGGAGGGTCTGGCTAGGGTTCCGGCTCGCCCTCCGAGGGCAGGTCTTGCTTATTGTCTCCAGCCCTGGCACAGCCATTCGGTGAAGATACTGATTTATTTTCAAACCAAGTTAGTCAGCCCTGTGATTTCTGTCATCCTCCTCCTCCCCCTTCCTTCCTCTCCCCGCCCCTCCCTTTACTTCCCCCTCTCCCCTCCCCCGATCCTAGTCAGGGAAAGCCCAGAGCACAAGTCATATCTATGCGGATCCGCCCCTTCCTGGGCTGCACACCAGCCCGGGCCTGCCAGAGCCTTGGGCTCCAAGAAGTGCAGGAAGCATCAGCCAGCCATGGTGTCTCTCCAAACCTCCAGACAAGCCTACCTGGGCGAACAGAGCAGAACACACTCACGAACCTTAAGCCAAAATGCCAGCATCTCACAAGGCATGGAGTCACCCCAGAGGCGCTCCAGAGGGGGGGAGGCACACACACTTGCAGCGCCCAGGTCTGCCAGCTGCAGTCTGACCCTCAGCCTCAGCCCAGCTCCCACTCCAGCTCCCACTCCCGCTCCTGCTGGGGGGCCTCGGAACACCCAGGCAGCCTTTCCAAGGTCATGGAGATGCATGGAGATGGAGACTTATCCCACCTGCCAGGACGAGGCTGTGGCAGGGACTGATCTACTTCGTGTGTGGAGAAACTAAAACTAACTGGGAAGTTAATGTGACTGAGCAATGGTTTTCAAGTCACTGGAACCCAGAAAGTGAGAGGCAGGCACAGGTGAGCTCCATGACAGTCCCAGCCCCTCCCAGAAGGAACTCCACGAGAGCAGGAGGCATCGTGGGAAGTCTATGGCCAGGCAAGGAAGGCAGCAGGCCTGTGGACAGAGGGCCTCAGCAGGGGATGGCAAACCTGTGAGTGAACCCCCAGAGCCAGAAAGGTACCACCAGCAGGACAGGGGGAACCATCCCATCACCCACAGGCCTGGCCAGAGTGGAGCCAGCAAATCCTCAGTCCTGACCAACAACACTTAGGCAAAGCCTGGAAGGATCCAGCTACATCCCAGAACAAAGCACAGACCATCCACCGCCAGGGCCAGCCCACCGCAGGCCCAGGGCTCACAAGGGCAGGGCGGCCCGGCGGCACCTGAGACCCGAGTGCGGTGACAGCTGTGGAGCCCACCTGTGGGCAGGACAGACGCCACAGGCTCAGGAGGCCCAGGTACAGAAGACGAAAGACAACATGCGGATGAAAGGGGCCCTGGGTGGGATTAACGGCGAACTGCCTAACAGAGAAAGGGGAGGAAACGTGAAGCAACAGTCATCAGACCACCCAAATGAAACGCAGGAAGAAGACTAAAGGCCAAACAACGGAATGAGCTGTGGCCTTCAAGGACCCGGTGCACAGGTAACCACAGTTCCGAGGGGAGGGGGGGAGATGGAAATATACTTGAAGAAATAATGGCTGAAAACCTTGCAAATTTGATGAAAACTACAAATCCACAAACACCAGCATCGCACCAACCCCCCAGCACAAAAAAACATGCAGAAAACTATACCAAGGCTACTGCAAACTGTTTAAAACAAACAATTCTTATTAACAACAAATACGTAACTATCAACAAGTGAATCTAAAAACCAAGGGAATTAAAAAATCTGATGAACAATATTAACTGGTGAATATCATAGAATCAGAGGTATGGAAGGGGAGTGGACTAACGAAAAAGGGGAGTGGGGGGTGCGGGAAGAGACTGAACATAAACTACACCGATGGATGAGGACAATGGGGGGTGGGGAAAGGGCAGAGGGTGGGGTGGGAACCTGGAGGAGGGGAGCAATGGAGCGGGGGTGAAATGAGGAACATTTGTAATAATATGAACAATAAAGATTTATTCTAAAAAAATAAAAATAAAAAAATAAATAAATAAAAAAAAGCAATGCAGAGAAAACACTAAGAGCAGCCCGAGGAAAAAGAACATTCCCTCAGAGAAGCCAGCACAGAAGGGCGGTGGGGTCTCGGCAGCCTGACAGTGGAGCGGCATCTTGGAAAACAAAACCAAAAGCCGGTTTACACACAGTGACAACTGCTCACAAACAGGTGAGATACACATTTCAAATATACAAAAGCAGACCTGCGTACAAGATGTTAAATAAAATCCTTCAAGCAAAACAAACAAGAAAAGAATCCAAGATGGAAATCTAGATTTACAAGGAGTCTGTGTGGGTAAATATAAAAGACTTACTTTTCTTAATCTTTAAATCCCTTTAAAAGATAATTAGCTGAAGATGCAATGCAACCCCTATCAAAACTCCAATGGCCTTTTCTGCACAAATGAAGTTCATATGCAACTGCAAGGGCAGAACACCTAAGACAATTTTGAAAAAGATCAAAGTCGGAGGCCTCGAATTCTCAAATTCAAAACTTACACGAGGCTCCAGTGATCAAAACAGTATGGTGCTGGCATGAGAATAGACAAGAGACCAATGGAACAGAAGAGAACAGAAATAATCCTCACATGTGTGGTCAATTGATTTTGGCAAGGACACAAAAATAATTAAGTGGTAAATTTTTCAACAAATGGTGCAGGACGAATGGACATCCATGTGCAAAATTATGAACTCAAAATGGATCAGAGATCTAAATGTGAGATCTAAAACTACAATACTCAGAAAACAGAAATAAAATCTTCATGATCTTGCCCTAATTGGTTTGGCTTAGCGGATAGAGCGTCAGCCTGTAGACTGAAGGGTCCCAGGTTCGATTCCGGTCAAGGGCATGTACCTTGGTTGCAGGCACATCCCCAGTGGGGGGTGTGCAGGAGGCAGCTGATCGATGTTTCTCTCTCATCAATGTTTATAACTCTCTATCCCTCTCCCTTCCTCTCTGTAAAAAATAAATAAGATATACTGGGGCGAGGGGGCAACTGAGCAATGATTCTCTCTCATCACTGATGTTTCTTTCTCTGTCTCCCTCTACCTTCCTCTCTGAAACCATTAAAATATATTTTAAAAAGTTGTAAATCATATTTTTATAAGGATCTAGTATTTAGAACATATAAAGAGTTCCTATTACTCAACAATAAAAAAATAATGGAAAATGCTGGCCAAGATCTGGAAAACCTGGACCTCGTACACCACTGGTGCTGCTGCTGTGGAAAACAGCATGGCGGTTCCTCACCATGCCCAACACACATCACCATGTGAGCCTCAATTCCTCTCCTAGGCAGAGCTCCCAAAGAAATAAGTGTCTACACAAGCACCTCCTGGATAGAGCTGTTTATCACAGCCCAAAGCAGAAGCAACCCAAATGCCCACCCACTGATGAATGGATGAATGTAGCCTACCATAAAATGGGAGTACTGGTTGTTCACAAAAAGAAATGAAGCACTGATACATGGTACAACATATAGGAACTTGGACAATTTTCTTCTAAGTGAAAAAGGCCAATCACCTGGGACCATATGCTGAATGATTCCATGTGCATGACATATCCAAAACAGGCAAACCTACAGACAGAAAATGTGACTGGCAGTTGCCCGGGCTGGGGAGGGAGTTGGGAGGTTGGAACAGGTGAGAGCGAAGGGTCCAGGGTATCTAACATGGGTTGTGGGGATGGCTGCAAAGCTCTGTGACTGTACCAAAAGCCACTGAATTGTATTATGTGGATTACAGAAATAAGTAAAGCTGTTAAAATACGGCTGTTTAAAAAATTTAATGGGTGAAAAAAGAAAATCATGTTAACACTCATCAAAAGAAAGCTAGTCCTGGCCAGTGTGGCTCAGTTCATTGGGTGTCACTCAGTGCATCTAAAGGGTGCCAACCTGAATCGTGGTTAGGGCACATGTCTGGGTTGCAACTCGATGCCCAGTAGGGAACATGCAGGAGGCAGCTGATCAATGTTTTGCTCTTCTATCAGAGTCTCTCTCTCTCTCTCTCTCTCTCTCTCTCTCTCTCTCTAAATCAATAATAAATAAATAAATAAATAAATAAATAGATAGAT